CTGCGCCCAGCCCCCCCCGCCGCCCCCCCCCCCCCCCCCATGACAGAACATTACCTCAGGCAGCGAATGCCCTATGGACAGGCGGGATATACTTTTAGGTTTACTTGAAGGTGTTCCAAGAGGCAGCCAATTTTCTCAAATTTTGTACTGATATACTGTAGTAACTTTTACAGCAATTTTCCAGCCTGAAGCATGCAGGCTTTCAATGTTGACTTCTCCTAAAATGCAAGTTACCTGGCTGAGCCAGTGGTTTCAATACTCTCTTAGAGACCAAGACTTTTTGTTTTAGTTTTTGCCCGGGGAAGGATTGCAACCCTTTTCAGGTTTTACTGCTGCCAGAGGCTCAGTTGGAGTGATTCCTTCACTTCCTGTCTGGTAAAAGGTTATCCACAGAACAGAAAATGAGGGGAAATCTACGTAAAACCTGAGGGGGGCAAATAACCTTTCCCCATACCATCCAAAAATGTTTTTAAAAAAGGGGTTTGGATATAGATACACTTTTAATCCTTTGATGTGTGCTTATTCAGGGTCAGAAGAAGATCACATTTACAAAGCAGGCTACACGTTTTCTGAAGTTGAGTAACAATGGCTGCCTATATAGGTCTCTCAGCAGAGGTTTGCATAGACCCATGCCCTGCAGAACACGTGTTATACACAGTATTAATTTAGCATATCCTTATTCACAGTCAAGCCACAACTCTCTTTACATGTTTACTTAAGATTTCTTTCTCCATGCCAAACCCTGTCAACCCACAAAGTACCTTAAATCTTATGTACTTATTTGCTCCACACTTACTTGGTCCAAATCCAATAGAAAAAGCACTTACGAATGCCATCAAACTCAAAAGAGTAATCCAGGTCAACCCAGCATGACTGGGGAGTCTCTGGTTTCTAGAAAAGGATTCTGGTTGCTCACTGCTGGAGTGAGTCGAATATGCCGTCCATGCAGAAGACCGACTAGACGGCCCTGTTGCATTCTTGGTAAAGAGCAGTGCAGTGGAGCCCTCCAACCTGGTCACTGGGACTCCGTGCTGGGCTTCGAAGGAAGTGGTTATGTCGCCAAGGGATTCCAATTTGACAGAAGAATTTGAAGATGCATTTATTGGCGTGAGGGATTCACAGCCCTTGTGAGTGTTCAGATTGATCGTGAAGCTTGCAATCCCAATCCCGGTAACTGAAACGGTCATCATGGCGCATCCAGCGAGAAGCAAGACTCTCCGTCCTGCTTTGTCGGCACAACTCATGGCAACCAACGTTGAGAGGACCTTCACAACACCAAGACCTACAGAAGCCAAGACTGCTGAAGAGTTGCTCTGGTAACCCAAAGATCGAAATATGGTTGACGCGTAATAAAGTACATTGGGTTGGCCAGTTAGCTGTTGGAACAAAACTAGCCCTAAACCCACCAGCGTCCTCATCCGCATGTTGTCCTTTGAACGAAAGAGGTCAAGGAAAGAGTAATCTCTAATGGAGGAGATGGGCTTGATGTCTCCAGCTTCCTGAAGTTCATTTAATGGAATCATACCGTTCTGGGATTCTCGGTCTAACATGTTTACGTTTGGGGGCTTGGATGGAAGAAACAGAATGCTGATAAACTGGAAGATAGCCGGTGAAATTGCCAACCCAAACATGTACTTCCAGCCTAAGTGCAGGCCGGATAAGAAGTAGTTCATGCCATAGGAAAGTAAAATCCCAAGTGTAACCCCAGTTTCATAAAGAGACACAAGTGTGCCTCTCTGGTGCGGCTTTACAATTTCCGAAACATATATGCAGCACGCCATCGAGGATATGGATATGGCAAAGCCAATGGTGACGCGTCCGACCACCAAAGACCAAAAGGATGTGGAAAGTATTAAAACTGTGCTCCCTGCCAACACCACCATATTGCTCGCCAGTATAGACGTCCGTCGTCCAGATCGGTCAATCAGGAATCCTCCTATGAGCGACGCGAAAAGGGCGCCGATTAAAACTGCGCTCACCAACGCCTCTTGCTGCAAACAGGTAAGATGAAAATCATTTTTCAGCTGAAGTAAGGCTCCAGAAATGATTCCTAGTTCGTACCCAAATATCAGTCCGCCCAATAGGGAGACCGTGGTGGATAATAGGAGAACAGCCGCTGGGAGGCCTGAAAAAAAAAAATGGGAAATTTGTATTATCAGCTCCATTACATTCATAATTTCAAGGTCATGGCATAAAAATGTGACCATCAAACTGCCAAAATAATGATTAAAATATCAGAACAAGGAAAACATGAAGCTTTTGGTTGCATAATTTGTCCACAAGTGTTTGGATCATTTTTGGATAAAATTGACAACCTATTTGTGCGCAAAGAACATGCTTTCCATTCAAGGAATAAGGGGTACCGCCCCCCCCCCCCCCTAAAAAAAAATGACAACCTATTTGTGCGCAAAAAACATGCTTCCCATTCAGGAAAAAGGGGGTCCCCCCCCCCCCCCCCTTAAGTGCTGGTTTACACCTAAGCATTGAGCTAAAGGCATGACTATACAGTCATGCAAGCACTACTTTTTCCCACCATACAACAACACAAGGTATCGTGGTACTGCACTGCACGGCTGTTGGTCTGTAAGCAGGGGGACCCTTTAATTGAAAGGCAATGCACCTAGTGCATGGTACCGTGTGTTTAGCACTAACTCGTAAACTAAGAAGGTATGTGCAGCTGGGGAATGGGGGGGGGGTAGTAAAGTGAACCTGGGATTTGCCATGTATAGGTTCAGCACTGGATCACTTTTTGTTATCTGGATTATGCTTCCTCTTGCAGAGGGGAAGTTGGATGTATTATTACCTTTCTGTTTATCTAATCTGTATGCTTGCACTCTGCATATGTTCAGATTATGCAAAGTACAAATGATTGTGCTGCGGGTCTTGTGGTTGTCTCACTGTGTGTGGAACAAACAAACAAACACAAACCTCTGGTATTCCAAGTTGGAAAATTGGCTCTGGTATATACTACATGTCTGTCGGTATTCTGATTGTTTTGAAACATATTATTGAACTAGCTGTAAATGACTATAATGTTAATCTAAATAAGTATCAATATAAAGACAATTTGCTGTTACAATGTAGAAAAATGATCCGCCTCACCCATAGTGATGATGTGTCGCTTACTTCCAGATTCTTCTAATTTTACATGTCGCTGGAAAACAAACACATAAGAGAGGCAACAATTACCCATTGTGACATTGTTTTCATTAAAGATACAGGTAGAAAAAAAAACAATAGGTGTTTTACTGAACATATTGTATGGAAGATTTCTAGCTGCTGGGTAACTAATACCATTTCTCAAGCTTCTAAATTCTTCTATGTCCTAAAACCAAAACTTTGTATTTATATTTTTGGGTGCAATAGGGAAGGATTAGATCCTCTGTCAGGTTTTCATTGATGTTTGTGTTCCTGCTGGAGAGATTCACTCTCTCTGTTTTCATGGTGGTCATAGTCACCAGGACAGAAAGTGATAAAAAATCCAGAAATGGTATAGAAGTCACTGGAACAGGAAGTGAGATCTTGCAATGGGGACACCTATTCCAGTGACAACCAAGAGAGGGAATCTAACAAAAATAAAAATAACAGGATAATGACAGTTCTGTTCAAAACAGGAAGAAAAAAAAAACAATTTTGGCGTTAGATATAATTTTAACACATATGGCAGCCGATGACCACAAGCAAGGCTAAGATCTTGCATGATGCAGAGTTTGTCCTCAACTAAAGTCCCACATGTATCCTTATACATCTCTACTGTGCATCTCAGGGAAATATTTGCTATCTTTCAGGAAGAACCAACATGAGTTTCTGGCTATTCACCAACCAACAATCTGGCAAGAGTTTCTGCTGATACTGATAACACGCAACACTCGCCGCATGGTCTGCATGCAGTGTGCTGGATTAAAAGGAAAGGAAAACATCTGTGTGAGTAGGCTTTGTTGGAAGCAGCAGTTTCCTTACTTAGGGCCCGTTCACACCAATTCCAATGCGTTCCAGCACGGTTAGCTGCTGGAATGCACTGGATCGCATACTGTGAGCCTCCCTGCATTCGGTGGCAGGAGGGGGCATGGTGATGCAATTAAGTCAATGTACTATTTTTTTGCAATTACACTGGACCGGAATGCGGGCATTCATGTGACACGCGTTCTGGTGCAGGCGATCGCACTGCAGGCCCGGGAAGGGGTGTGTGTGTGTGTGTCTGCAGTGCCATTGACTTAAACAGCACCACCACTCCCCCTCCCGCCCCAGAACGCAGGGAGGCTTCTACTTTGCGATCCAATGCATTCTGCCCACTAACCAGAACGCACTGGAGATGGTGTGAACCGACCCTCAGGACCCATTCACACCATGTCCGGACCAAGACATTTTTTTGTCTGGTCCAAAAACTAAACCTCATTAATTCCAAAAGGTCAAAAGTGAGGCTAGTTCAGTTCCAGATTATTTTTTTTAACAAAAACAAAATACAATAAAAACAAAACAATACGGATGCACTATTTTCGCAGGTCTGGAACACAATGAAATCCAAACAATGCACATGGATGAACAGGACACATAAAGTACTTTGTAATGGAAATACAGATAGCTGTATTCTATTGTGCACAGATCCTTTACAATAAGGCAATTTATTTTCTATTTATTGCCACACATCCTCATATTAAGTAGATAAAAGTGTCCTGTAACCTATAATTAGAAGGATTTTAATAAGTCAAGTAACCATTTCACATGCACTAATCAGAGAGTGATAGAAAAATGTCAAACTTTCACATAAACTATAAAAAGTGATACAGTTATGTGATGTTTTCACATGGACTAAGTGAAGTGATACAAATTGTGTCAAACATTCACATCAAATGTAATAACAGTCCTACAGTTGTGTCAAACGTTGACATTCAGTGATCAGGAAAAGATACAAATGAATCAGATTTTCTACATGAACTAGCAACAAAGTTGCACTGAACTAGGAGTCGCCTTTTCTTATGCAGTATTTGTGATTGCTGCTGCAAAAATTCTGACACTCTGGATGTTGTCAGTTACCTGGAAGATCGTCAGTGTAAACACAGGTGAGATGTACTTGCAGGCTGGCACATTCCCATACAGTGTCAGGGTTAGGTTGGAGGAGGATCTTTTCTTCAGGAAGTTGGGAGGACGTGGCAGGCAGAAAAAAAAACTCTCCTCCCTGGTGTGCTGTGAGTCTGTGATAGAGCAGCATTCCTTCAGCTGTTCATATGCTGCATTAATGACCCTCCAGCCAGATTCCTGCTGGGGATTGTTTGCCCCAACTTTATTTACATCTGCAATGCAAACTTGCACTCTAACTCGTCCGAAGTTTAAATTCACTACCCCAGACACACAGTCAGAATTGCTATAAAGCTATTTTTATAATGAGTTTTAAAATGCAAATATAGGAACCAGGTCTAGACATGCCTTGGGCAGTTTTCTTGGAGAAAACCTGCAGTGCGAGCAATATGCATGTCGTGTCTGACCTACTGAAAATGAGATTTGCCTTGCTCCCTGGCTCCAGCGCTTTGAGTCGCTGATCAGAAACATGTGTGTATATCATAAGTTCATGTTTTAGTGTTTTGGGATCAGTGACTCAAAGTTCTGAAGCTGGACACAGCCAGGCAAGCTGCATTTTCGCAAGGAGGTCAGTAATGGCGGCCCCTAAGGGTTTATTGTCACTTAGGTTTAAGGGGCTTCTTCTCAGTCAGAGCGGTTAGGGTCTGGAACTCTCTGCCACAAGCAGTAGCATCAGCTGAGAGCGTTGAATCATTCAAAATGCATTTGGACGATTTCCTCAGAGACCGTAACATACAGGGGTACAGGTACCCTTAAAACAAGATCACACAGGGACTCATACACACGCAGACACATGCAGAATCACATACATACATGCAATAGGTTGAACTTGATGGACCTGTGTCTTTATTCAACCTCAAATACTATGTAACTATATAACAAGGAACAGGATGGTAGGAGATGAGTTCATCAGTCTGCTGCTTCTCTTTCTGCACGAGCGCCAGCCCAGGCATTGGCCTATACACATACAGCACAGTAATGAAGTAATAAAATGAACTAGGATCACACTAATCCAGCACTTTATTATTCTGAGTTGCCCCACTCAAGCGGCGGCCATTTTGAGTGGGTCACATGAGATGAATAACACGCTGGATTAGTGTGATCCTAGTTCATTGTATTACCTCATTGCTGTGCTGTATGTGTATATATATATATATATATAATAAATTGAAATTATGCAAAGTATTAAAAATGATAACTAATCATTGAGGCAACAATTGTTCATGTATCTGCTACATGCAAACTGCATATTTTGCAATCCTTCTTCTATACATGACTGTTACATACAAGCCTCCCTCATTGTTCTAAGGAAGCAGATAATACATCTGAGAAACACGTATAGAGTCTGCTCTGTTTTTGCCACCTACGGTACTTATCAGTATAATATAGCTTTATCATACAACATGGGATATGAATGCTTATAGACCTCCCTTGGTGGGTATTGCCTTCTTGGCCTATTCACATATTGAATGATCTTGGTAATCTGAGGCAATATGGAGGAAGGAAAAGAGTCCTGGCCTTAAACAGACAACAATGTGATTGAACAAAGGATGCAATAAATTTGATGAAAGCCTATAGGCTGTGGTAACATTTTGAACATACAAGAATCATGACTCTCCCTGGGAAGGAAATAAGGAATATGATTACTCTTGACTGTATAAAATGAAGAGTTGAGGAGCATAGCTAAGTACAGGTTGTACATAACATGGTCAGAGAAGAATCGAATAAAACTAACCGATATCCAAGACTTCGCTACCTAAAGGAATTGAGACTACGAAACACAATCCTAAAAGTTCTGTTTAATAGAGAACCTTCATCAATAGGATGGTCAGTAAATCCAAAACTAGAGGTGTAAACCCACTGGTTGAAATTCTTGCTCTCAGTGGCGTTATTGTTGCACCTGTATTGAGGAAAGAAGAAAGAAACCCAACGGAGGTCCTCTGGGTACCTGAAAAGCCTGAAACTTGGTTCTTGAGACGGATGAGACTGACACTTGTATCCAGGCCTGAGGGGCAAAAGAAGAGAACTTAATAACATCAACTTGAAAAGATTTAGAAGAGTGAATTAGGCACACCCAAGCTGTTGCCTCCTCTCTTTTCCAACTTCCAAGCCATCAGAGCTAGATGGCCAGAGAGTTAGTGAGCCAGCTAAAGGGCATTCATGCTCAAAGTGGAGATGCAGGAGGTTTCACAAATGAGTTTCACCGAGAAAAGTCCCTTTTGTACTCAACTGGGGGAAAAGAGGGAGCTAGACATGTTTGGCCTAAGAATGAGATACCTTAAAGGGTTCTGCTGGTTCTAACTTCTTCTTTCCTGTTATTGCCTCTAGTAGAGGTCAGTTCAGTCTCAGTTGGCAATTGTTCTGCAGATCCTGAAGCAGCATTTGTAATGGCGGCACAGTGTGGAAGTGGTGAGTGCTTCCTCTGCCTCTATAAGCCTTAGTAACACACGGATGGCAAACAGGCTCTTCTTTAGGAGCTTCCCAGCAGCAGGCCTAGCAGCAATTCTTCTGTGGTCTCTAATGAGTTTTCTACTCCCAGGTGAACAATGGCTTACAGTGTAGCTGGATCTTCTATGATCATCAGATTAATGATGAGAGATGGTGATGTGCAGAAAAGAATGACCAAGAGCAGGAAACTGAGAAGAGAAAAAAAAAACACTTACCAAATGATGGATCCTGTTCTTTTCTAGGAGTGTCGGGTACAGCGCAGCTACAGAAAAGAGAAAGAAACCATGAGAAAAGTGGCAAGGAAGAGTAAATAATGAAAAGCACAAAAGATAAATGATGCTGGTAATCAAAGCTCACCTAGTTGGCCAGGCAGACAGAGACAAGTGACACCTGGCCACAAAGAGATCTGTCACATCGGTAGAGCATCTGGAAATCTTCAAACGGTGAAGAGAATGGGCACCATATAGCTAAGGAGAAAAGCCCACCCTACAGTGTGCCCTGTGTGAGCACTACAAGAAAATGGCACCTGACATGGGAATAGGAAAAGCTTCCCAAGATAGCTGGAAATGTACATGTCCTCACTAATGAACAAAAGCCTATTCCCATGGAAAGTGCCTAACAGAAGGAAATAGACGCCAACTCAGAATGACATGCAAAGAGAGAGGAAAAAAGACAAACTCAGAAAGATCATGATACACAAGAAGGCCACCAGTAAAGTAATCCTGGGCTATGGCACCTTCAGGAGCCCCAGAAGCAGGTACATGGGAATAGATCAGCTGGAAAGTCATCATCATCAGCAAAACAAAAGGAAATGCAAAGAAATCAGAAAAACTCACCAAAACATGGAGCCCCGGGTCTGTCTTGTGTACGCTTTGCCTTCAGTCTGTGGTGCAGCAAGGTAGCTGTGCCTTTGATGTCACACTCAGAATGCTTTGAACCCCTTTACTGCCAAAATTCAATGACCTTTTACCGAGACAGAGCTCCTGTCTAGACACTGTAGTGAATAATATGTGTATATAACTATATATATATATATATATATGTTAGTATCTGGCATCCCCAGACACTACTCACCACCTATAACAACAGTGCAACAAAGAGGAAACTTCCCAACATTATTAAATATGATTTCAAGGTTGCTGCAGCTATAGCAACAGCCTTTCTTATGCTAATTAGTCTTAAAAAGAGACCAGGTGATCATTTACAATTTACTTTCTCGTTACTGATCGGTAGCTAACAGCAGATGATTGCCGGGAATATTCATAGGGTGCGAAATACGGTTGCTATAGTGGCTAAATCCCCGGTCTCTTGAGAAGTATACATGGTGTCTTCTGAAAGGTTCTCTCCTGCTTCTATGTAAATGATGATGGTGAATATCAATCTAACTTTGAATAATGTAATAGAGATGGTTTAGAGAAAAGGCAAAACACTGTTCAACATTTCACCTTCAGAACAAATAGAAAAGTTGCAGATATTACAGTGAGAATATTTGCCACACCCAGGACTGGTGCTAAGGTAGGCCATAGGCTGGCACATGTTGATTTAAAATATATCTTATTTGTGTATCACTCGGCTGTAGATCCTCCAATCATCTCTGACACTGTCCTTCCTTCTGGAGGGGGGCTACTTTTGTTCCCCATGGCCCCTGTGTGTGTTGTAAAGTAGTCACCGTTCCGAGCTCACTCGCGGGATGGACTACAATCTCAATACAAGTTAGTACACTGAACCTGAGATTGTAGTCCATCCCGGGAGAGGTGACTACTTTACAACACACACAGGGACCATGGGGAACAAAAGTAGCCCCCCCTCTCCCCCTCCAGAAGGAAGGACAGTGTCAGAGATGATTGGATGATCTACAGCCGAGTGATACACAAATAAGATACATTGTTGTTCAGAGTTCAGGTTCTTGAATGGATTGTTAAGATTTAACTCCTGATTTTAGTGTCACTTTAATAAGCCATGGAAATGTGACCCCTTGTCCCAGGTAACATAGTAAAAGTTCTATGGCTACCTATGCCATTATAGACGCATTCAACAGCCCCGCTGACATGCCAGCAAAATGTGTAGATTATCATGTGGGCAGATAAACAATAATACATTGAGATTGTAGTAAAATAAGGAAGAGATCTAGATAGATTGTATTTATTGTAGCATCTTCTTAATGTAGCAAAACATTTTGTCTTATGCAGTGTAGCGGTAGAAGCATCAGAGAAATTATGAAAACAACATTGTTGCCCTTAAATATCCCCTGGGAACTCTGCACCTTCCATCACTTGTACTCTTCACCATATTAATCTCCTTTGCTGACTGACATTTTGTTTCTCTCTTCTTCAGATTTCATATATTAATCTGGAAGGTTCTGTCCATCTCTTCAGATATCTGGAAAGGATCGCCACAGATGCCAGGATTCTGTGTCTTCTTCAGTCACGTGCGGAGTATATGGTATGTACACGATCCTTATACTGTAGATGCCAATATTAGCTTATGTAATAAATATGACCGATCAGAAATGATCATTTTGTTTAGATTGACGTAAGGCAGGGGTAGCCAAACTTCAGCCCTCCAGCTGTTGTTATAGAGCTACAAGTCCCTTCAGGCATTACAGTATTCTGATACTCACTGCCAGAGGCAGAGGAATTATAAAATATGTTGTTTTTAGCACAGCTGGAGGGCTGAAAATTGGCTATAAAATTTGAAATCTGGTTGACATGGTTTGTGGAGGCCATACATGGATAACAGTCCCACCAAGACTAGTGGTGATTTTCGACTGTCCCTTTAATAAGTCTTGTGATGACATTACTGTACAATTGCCGTATTCTTTTTCCAAAGAATGTTATACTTCTCTACAGTTATCCTTTAATTCTCTCCCCCCAAGTCTCACCTCTACATATTTCACCCCCTTGTCTGGTCCACAAGGAGCTGCCTGAGCATTCTCTTCTGGTTGGCCCCTCACATCTGCTGGGCTATGATAATGACATTATTATGCATCCCAACAACTGATGGCCTCTCCATAGGAATAGATGTGACCAGCCAGGAGAGTTTGCAGCAGCAGCTGTGTGGTTTCCTGCGAGCTGCACAGCGCAGCCCC